TTTCTCTCCCTGGGATGAAGAATCCCTGAGAGAGACTCCTTTCAGAGCGCTGGCAGGTTTGTGGTACTGAATCGTGAAGTCGTCGTCGAAGTCGTCTTYATCATCATCACCATCGAAATCCTTTCCAGCCTCAARAAGAGATGGAGAATCATTTTCATCATCTTCTGTTGATCCCAAATCTCTCAATAACACGAATATTCAAGTTATAAATAACCTAAATATATCGTATGGGTGGATAATAGTGAAGAACAGCTCAAGAATATTCAAGAAGTTGGGGRAGATGCAAGAGTGGAGCCACTTCGAGAAAACAACCCTGCTACAACAGCCGTTTGAAGTCACAAGGTCCAATAGGTTCACTRGGTTCCAAACTCTTTATGAAAGGAATGAAAGTTTTAAGGTTGTGCTTTGAAACTGATATCTTGAAGCTCCCATTTCACTTATTTAAGTTCAGTTCTACTCGTCTACTATTGGATTTTAAAACCCCTAAAGTTGCAAAAGGATCACCTATGTGTCCTTATACTACATCTTACAACACCCAGTTTTATGTTATTGTTAAAGGTGACGTTTCAGGTGGACGAGAGAGCTTCTGTGCATTGTGGTTTCTACAGTGAGAATGGAGGGTTTAACGTTTAAGGTTTCTGATGAGGACAAGAGTTGCATACCCTTTTACTACCAAACGTTCCTTAAGATTCTTGACTTCTCCGTTTTCTTTTAATTTGGTTTTATATGCCCATTTAACACCGATGGGTCTAAAGCACACATGATGACAATCATAGATTATTGAAACTATCTRCATATTGCTATATTGTAACTGATAGAGTGATATGAATATTATTTTTTAGCATATCAATAATGTTTGCTAGTGTTGTGAGTTTATCMTATGAAAACTACAGTCTAATTAAATGAATATGTTTTGATCCAGGTACTATCTTGGAGAGTGATCAAGCAAAGCTACATAAAGATTTCTCCCTTATTCTGTYTGGTAAAGTTGATATATATGGATTCCATGGATCTTTCCAAACTTGAGTTTGGAATACACAAGAAGCCAATATCAAGCAGCAAAGAAGATGCTAAAGACTCAATTAAACTTGAACATAAATTGCATAATTTATACATCAGAATAGGTAAACACCTAAATTGCAGAAGTTGAGGATGGTATCAATTAAACTTGAACATAAAAGCTCAACTTTTTATTTTTTAATTATCTTCTTTTCCTTTTCACTTTATACTAGTTGAACAAGAGAAGACCTTGGTAGAAAGACAAGACCATTTGCGAAAAATTTCAACAGGGGATATTGAATACTAGGGACAGAACCATGATCACGAGAATGTGGGAAAGAACTCAAGTATGCGATGGTAAACTCCATGGAATCGTTATATGACTTGTTGCAACCAACTAATGCACAGTTAAACTCTACAATCAATTAATGCACAGTCACAATCAAACATCAGGCAAGTCTAGGAGGGAAAGCAAGTGTACATATACGTCCATTGCTGTAAAAAGATATTGAACTTACCTGTTGGAAATTGAAGCACCGAGGAAGTCGATGAAGAAGAGGATGAAGGTCGATTAGGGTTTAGATTCGATCAAGAAGAAAAGGATAAGGGTCGATTAGGATCCATGAGGAAGAGGATGTACGATCGAGTTTGAGGGTGAATGAACAGTCGGGTTTAAATAGAGGAGGGTTTAAGAAAGGTTTTTTTTTCTTTTTAAAAATTGTTTTTAAGTTAAAAATTTCTTTTAAATAACATGTAAGTTATCCTATATGGCTTCCATGTCATTTTAAGTTTGACATGTCAACAAAGAAAAACCTATTCAAAAGGTAACAAGTTACTCAATGTTATAATAGGTAAATTTTTGAAAATACCATCCTAATAAAAAATATTTTGAAAATACATTATTGTAATAAAAAAAAACTGAAAGTAAAATGCTATAATAAGGAATATTTGTAAAAGTAAATTGTTATTTTACGCATTTTACCCTTTAGAAATTTTGAAGGGATTATGCCCCCACTACCGTCC